GAATGCTATCATCGCCCATGTGCGACATGTTTTCTGAAGATGACTGTACATATAAAATATCATACCCCAAGGGCCGGCAAATTTCGACCGCCATCTGATAACAAAAAATGATACACAGTGTGTCCCAGCTAGAACTTGTCACCTCCCTAATCTCCGATGTACTAAAAACAATTGAAAATCGCTCGGACAGATCGATTTCAATTTGGCGAGGGACGCATTTTTCTGCAATTATCATATTCCAAAGTTGAAACCTGAAGCGTAACGTGCATCAACTTTCGATTTTCAAATGGAACACCTTGTATTTCATTGCATTTTTAGATTATCCCTGAAGAGCTGCTTACATCAATATCACACTTCCCAGGTAACACGGTACTCTCCGCGATATCTCTAAGTAGTTATCTTCAGGATCAAAATGCGAAATCCTTCTGCGAGGTATCAAAGATCACTATAGGCTGTCACCATGGGAAATACTCTCTGGAGTCGTCCGAAAGAAATCGCGGAGATCTCGCCTCAGATTTGATATATTCCTCATTATTGCGAATCCTTGAGGTTATCTATAACAGGAAATGAATAGGCATTTCTTTCTGCGAGCACCCAAGGATATCCTGGACGTAACAAGATCGAGAATTTCCCATTGCGAGCTCCTAAAGTAATCACAAACATAACCTGAATAATTAATGAATATTCCTACAAAAATATTGAGCTGTTTTTTTCAATAGCCTTTATAATTCAAATACTGGGTGTCATAAGTTATCGTTTGCAGGCAATATCTCGCCTATTTGTCAAGATATCAAAAGCATTAAAAAACTGCATTAAATGGCATTGAATAACCTTCCTAATGGCTTATGAAGAATGTGATATATTTGGCAGCCCCCGGATGGTAGATACTGATCTAGTAGCATATTGTCTCTGAAAATTGCGTGTCAATCTATTTGGAATACAACGATATAGCACATACTTTGTGTTTTGTTCTTGATAACAACAAAAACATAAACATTTTGTGACTTTTTTACGTTACTCAAATGACAAATTGTGAAAGCAATGTGTTCAAGAAGTTCACAAATAAGAAGTATGGATTGCATTTTTGTTTCAAAATATTAATGACAGATATTCCATTTTGAACTGCAGAACATCAATCATTGCAGACGGTACCTACCTAGTGTAATAATTAATCTAATTTCATTGTGGGACATTTTTAAGAACATGGGAGGAGGCAATTTTCAATCGATGTAACGTAAATGAGGTCAAAAAATTTTATTGTTAATGTTGTTATTAATGAACAAAATACAAAGTACCGATGTGCTATCGTTCATTCCCGAAATAGGATGATTGGCAATTTTCAATGACAATATACAGGGAGTCCATTAAATGAAAATTGAGGAGTTGCTACCAGGTGGCTGTCCAATCTTATACACTTTTTTTTGAGTCATAAAGAAAGTTCTCTGATGTCATTTGAAGCATATTTACTATTTTTTGTTCATCTTGTCGAGTAAGCAAGTTTTTGACGGTACCTTTACGATAACTTGGGACACCCAGTATTAACATGAAATGGGAGCCATTAATCTATGATAATATAATTGTATACTAGATACTAGATTTTCTTACTGATTATTTCGAATTTTGCAGTGAATTAATGATAATTAATTATCTGCTCTGACGAAAAAGACAAAAATGTTCTAATTCAGGTGGGATCGAGAATCAAATATCTACCTCAAATTCGTGGGTAGATATCGGACGAAATTTTTTTTTAAAGGATACCCGGCCAACTCCTCGGAGATTTTTTCAAGTGATAAAGTTTACTTGATCAATGTCTTGCTATAGAATAATATATAATTAAAGCTCATTACGTTGATCTAACTCTAAGTTCGGTAACTCAATCTTTTTCGCTCAAATTAATATCCAGTAAATTTAACTCCACCCCAAACAATATAGCTGGCGCTAGTTAGACTTCGCCGACAGGAGACTGCTGATAACCAATGACTTCTCAAACATTGAACACCTTACCATATTAGTGGCGATCATGTGGCGATTGATGCAAATATCGCTCTTAAAGGCCTCGTTATGAGGTGATGTGCACGGATTCTTGAACAATTAATAGTTGCGAGTTGCGAGCACTTGAAGAGTTCGCTATTAGTAATTGATGCGAATTTCCCAAAGTTCTCTTCACAAGGCGATGCGTGCGAAAATCTCAAACAGCTCGTAGTCGCGAGCACTTAAAGACCTCGACAGAAGCAATTGATGCGAATCTCCCAATGTCCTCGTCACAAAGCAATGTATGCGAATTTCTCAAACAGCTCATGATTGCGAGCACTTTCAGTTATCGCCAGTGGCGATGGAAGCGTATACCTCAAAGTGCGCGCCTGAGGGCATTGTATGAGAATTTCTGCGTGCGATATCTTCAAGACCTCGCTGAGCTCAGCCTAGGTGGCGGACATTTGGCATAGATATAGCACTCTCGGCGATCTCTCAAAGAAGTTACAAAAGGCATCACAATTTCCTAAAAGGATTTCTTCAAGATATCTTTAGGACCTCTTTGTGCTGGCTGGGTTGGTGTCTAGCCGGAATAATTACAGAGATAATAGGGTGTTCAAAATCGAGACGGATTTTTTGGTGTCGAAACTATTCATTAGCGGTCAAAACGTCTTTCATGTCCCTAACTTAACTCTTGATTTACTATCTACTGACATTTAATTGGTACATATACAGGGTGGTTCAAGATTAAGAATTCTGATCATCACCCTGTATCTGTTCCAATTAAATCTCAGTAGATAGTAAATCAGAAGTTAAGATAGCGACATAAAAGCCGTTTTGACTGATAATGAATAGTTTCGACGCAAATAAATCCTAAAGTTGAAAAATCTCGATTTTGAACACCCTTATATCTCTGTAATCATTTCCGCTAGACACCATCAAGTGTGATACATTGATGAAAGCAGCTCTTCAGGAATAATCTGAAAATGCAATGAAATACAGGGAGTTCCTTTTGAAAATCGAAAGTTGATGCCCGTCACGCTTCAAGGTTTCAACTTTGAAATATGATGATTGCAGAAAAATAATGTGTCCCCCACCAAATTGAAATCGACCTGTTCGAGCAATTTTCAATTTTTTTAACGACATCGGATATTTAGGAGGTGACAAGTTTTAGCTGAGACACCGTATGTGCCAAAGGCAATGTAGTTTATCGAACGACACCTGTGCCAATCACTTTCCTGAGCGAAATGATTGAAAAATTGCACATTCCTGTGCGGAAATTTGCACTCGATTTCGCGTTTTGATAACGAGGTAAAAATAATGCCATTCGATACCAATCAATAAATGGTAGATTTCGAGAACATACCAGAGGGCCACGACCCTTCAGTCTGAGTCAAATCCACGACACAGCAATTTTTTTGCTGCTATTATTCCGGACATACTTCCTTGCGAATATCCAAACGTGCCGCGATTCAAACTGGTCTAAGTTACTGGCAGAGTGTCAAAACGCCAGTTTCATATTTTTATCAGATTGAAGTATTGAAATAACAAAATTTTTATCCTCTGTGCGATATTTGTATTTAGCTCAGTTTTTGAGGAAACAATAAAAATTCGATTTGACTCCAAATTTTATTGTAGGTGTTTTCAAGACTTCCATTTAGATCACTCAATAACCCCAAGTAGAATCATTTTGAAATGTTGGGGCTTTCTCAGTCTCCATCCATATATGGAGCAAGTTAGGATACATGTTTATGCGAGTGAAGAAATTGGAGAAGTACATCTCGAGAAAGTTGTTAAGGTATAGACAAAGATTTTTCGAAAATTATAATTGTAACTTTGCTGGTATATGAATATGCAAAAATGTGATTTCAAAACCTTAAGTCGATTGTATAGAGAGTAATGTGCAAGGACAAAATCGAATATTTCATCCGTATTTTGTTTGATTTCTTTTTTACCCAATCGGTCGGAGTGTGCCGTGTACAAATTGAAAAGCTGCACACTCTGATTCTGATGAGTTTTTGAAAAATACGATCCAGAATGTCAAAATTATGACATTCATAAAGAAAATGAATTTCCCAAGTCCGTCTCTGGAATTTTTTTCCATGGTAAGCACTAAGTCATCTTATGGAGTATTAGTAGTGGTAAGTTTCTGGTCATTTTCAGACGATGACATCGAGATGTTCGTGAAATATCATCATGCATCAAAGATTCGCCCCGAATTCAAATAAATGCCCTGTATTTAGTTACGAATAGGAAAAATATATTATTTCACATGGATATCAACTCACCTTTGACTTCCTCTATTCGCCGTTATATAGGCTATGGCTGGTTAGTCATGACTCCTCGCATGACTCACTCCGTATAGGATCTAAATTATATCACTATATGAAATCAATAACAAAATGAACTCAAAAAAGTACAAATTATTTTCGAGTATATTGTTCATGTTCTTATCATGCTGATTTATTTTCAGGACATCAATGGAACATTCCAATTGTACGTCGAAGGTGCTGGTGATACTTACGATATACAGTATGAGGCAAATGTATGGAATGAATTCATTTCAAAACAAGACGACTTCCGAAAAAAAACCAAAAAGTAGAGTTCAGAACTTTTTTATCGATGTATTTTTTCAACTAGACGACCCTTCGATTCTCAGTAGAAGATCTCTGCAAGATTCAGTTAACCAAATGATAATCCATTTTAATTTCAATCTTCTTTTGCAAAATTTTGACTATTGGATAGACGATCAGTACCTAGACCTTTCAAACGAGGTGTCACATGACCTCTGTTTGTATTTAAAGAAACCGTCCATTATGTCATTACTCCAACACCGGTGATATAACATCTCTCATATGAATTTCATGAGATGAGGTTTCAAAAATTAAAACTCACGTGTTTTTGGAATTTCTTCAAATGTCGCCCATTTCTGAAATAATGAATTTATTCCATACATTTGCATCATACTGTATATCACCTAGCAAAGAAGTGAACGAAGCCACATTCATGATACGTGTCACAATAAACAGCACCTTCCTAGACTACGAACGAATAAAAAAAAACAACCTCACGTTATAGTCGCCAAAGAGGTAGTCATCAATGTATGGTACTCAAAACAAGAACATGATGAAAAGAATATCAGACCTCCGATCTGATCCAATATGGAAATTTTTTACCAAGTTCCCAAAAACTGATGAAATTTAAACAGAATCAACATACCTTATCAGTAGTATTAGTGACCAGATATTCGATTCATAGCTACAGACCTCCACTTGTAGTTTTACTATTCTCTTGTGTTTTCAGAAGTGACACATGAATTACGCAACCACTCTACACTCTCTTTACTGCGAATTTCAATTCAAACGGTTGGAACCTGTTGTTCTCGCACTGTCACGTGGTAGAAGGTTTGCGCACACTCGCACGCTGTTGCCACATAAATGTTCGAAATATAGTTCATAGAAGCAGAGATAAGTTAACCCACTTATCTCTGATAGAAGTCATGAACCAAAAATCAGTATCCACTCAATGACAATGATATTTATGAACTGAATAAGCTCTATCATTGCGTAATTCACTATATAGGTACTCGAACTCCTAGACACCTGTTGAATTATATTCACGTATAGCTAGGGTTTCTTCACGAATCTCCTTCTAATTTGTATACAGAGTGTCATATAAGTCAACTGGCATTAGTGCAGTGTTTTTGTCCATTAGAATGTATCTATCTTACATGACAGTAAAGTATAATGTGCTCTTCTATTGTATTTTTGAGCACAACCCCAAATTTAGTGAAGTTCCAGTTACCATCAGTCTGGTAGACAGGAACGACAATTTCCCAGAATTCGCTTAGAGTCTGTGTATGAAGTCCACGTACCAGAAAATTGTGAAGTTGGAACCACAGTTGCTTTGGGCTCAAGTATTCGATTCAGGAAAATTCGGTACGAGAGGAATGAGATACATCAACATTGCAGGAAACATTGACCAAATGTGAGTTTTCTTCTAGTAATCCCGTATTATTGATGAAAAAATACGCGTTATTAGGCATCCATTCCAAGTGTCAGGTATCTTTGACATTGAATCAATGACAAATCAACATGTCTATATTGCAGCATAACGTAATTAGTAATAACCAATCATAGGGCATATACTTGATTCACCAGACTTCTATATATCAAGGATTTGGAATAATGTATCGGCTGATTGATATTCTTTCACGTGAATACAGAATTCAGAAAAAAATTGGAAGGGATTTAAGCTCGTCAAGTCGTAATTCTGAAATATCATGAACGTACATCCAAAAAGAATCGAAAGAAGAGTCAATTTGTTTATCGGGGGAGGAATTCGAGGTGTTCGAAATTCGAAATATTGAGACGTCAAACGCGATGAAATATGTTGGGCGAAATCATAGCAACAGCGGTATAAGTATGCGGACAGTACTCAAGTAGCTCCTTATCGGTCGATATAGCAGTGTTTAAAATGTTCATTCTAACACACAAAATCAGAATCATATTATTCGTTGCAACAAAATTTGACTAAAGGCCTGTTAGTTTGTATTGCTGAACTTGTCAAAGTTGATTTCTTCCCCATAGTTGTCTCTGTTCATGGAATGATGTAAACAGAGAAAGAGTCATAGAAAGAAATCAAGCTCAGCAGGTAAAACAAGCACAAATGAACAGGCCTCTTATTGTGGATTGTTCTACTTCTCAAACTGTGTTATAGATTAAACTTTCTCTCCCGTGTTGATTTAATCAAAACAAATCTACACAAACGTATTCACATTCTCTTCCCCAATAGTGTATGAGTCGTTTGGATACACAACAGCTTTCTGCGTATGGTGTTTCTCTCACACTTCTGAATTGATTCTTAGTCTGAAAATCCATATCGTGCCTTCATCAGGCTGCATTTGCACCCAACATCAGGCATTTTCACAGTGAAAAAAGCAGGATCAGAGAACAAGTGTCCCGACATTTCCTGACAGTGGAAGCTCGTGATGATCTGGGATTCGGTGATAGAAACTCAGTGCAACTCATAATCGACATCGAAGATGTCAACGATAATGCTCCTGTCCTCATACAAACCAAATGCGAAATAAGGCTGCTGGAAAACAAGGCGGACTTCGAGCAACCGTTGAGAGATGCAGATCTAAATGGTATTCAACTAGAGGGCTCAAAAAACCATTACCTTCATTCAGAAATAGTTTCGTAATCATGACTCATTTCAATAGTATCCATGTTCGATAACAAAAAGCAATTCGCGGTAGTCAAGATCATCATCTGACGTTGCGATAACATGAAAACTACGGGAAAATATGTCAAACTTCCAATCTAAGCCAGGAGTTAGGTAAACTCCTGGCATAGACATGTGTTTTCCATGGGTCCCTGATAGAAAAGGAATTAAATGAACAATACTCCAAAATAGAAATAATAAATTATAATTTCATCTCCATTCCACATAATCGATTTTTTTTAACAATCACAAGGAACGAAAAATCGTTGACTCAAAATACAAAATTCGAAACAAAAACAAAAATAAATTGGTTATAGTTTCCAACCTGAATCAATTTACAAATAAATAATTTACAAAAAAATATATTCGGCAGTTCGTCAAGCATTGATCATTCCTAAAATAGTTGATATAATCCTCTCGCCCCTGTCATGATGGCACAAATTCAACAACGGATCCCTAATCTTCTCTTCCAGCAAATCGAACAACTCCTGCCTCATCAGCTTTATCATCTCGGCAATTTTATGTTCGTCGACCCGGAAGAGGATCCACCCGTCCTCCAGCATGATGAAAGTGTTACCGCCCTGTATGGTAACGTTGAGGTCGTACCCCGAAAATAGCACCAACGGTATCACGGGTACCATGGTGCAATCTCTGAAGAAGACTTTGCTGGTCTGGACTTTTTCTTGGTACACCATGTAGGGGCTCGGGAAGTGTTTCACGATGTAGTTGACTGAACTTGGATGCATGAATACCTTAAAATTGTTTTGAAGTTGTATCAATACATCAATATCAATACGATGAATATACGGGGTGGAAACCTATGCTGGAATAGAATCAGTAACTCAATAACAAAAATATATTTTGAAAAATCCTCAGACATGTCGATTTTCATTCTTGAAGATCTATTTTCCTACATATAAATATTTAACCCTACAGATCAACCCCTCAAAAATTTTTTGAATTGTATAAGGGGTCAAGTTCCGGAAACCAGCCTCAACTACTCATTGGGGAAGTATGCTTCAGTTTTCCAAGCAGAGGTGTACGCAATTCTCCAATGTGCGGAAGAAAATAACAGGAGAGCTGTGGAAAACGAGCAGATCCGCATTATGTCAAACAGTCAAGCGGCACATAAGGCAATAGAAAGCCAGGAAGTGACATCTCGACTGGTATGGGATTGCAAGAGGGAACTGAGAACTCTGGCAGACCGGAACTGCGTCAAGCTAATCTGGGTGCCAGGTCATCAGGGGATCGCTGGCAATGAGAAGGCTGACGAACTTGCAAGAAGAGGGTCAGACAACGAGCCAGATCCAGGACAGACTCTTGGAGTACCAAAACGCACAGCACGAGTGTCAGTTAAAGACTGGATTCAGGCAAAATATAAGAGCTACTGGGAAAACATCCCAAGAAACAAACATGGGAAACAATACATTAAGGAACCAAGTCATAAACGAACTGTAGACCTGCTCAACTTGAACAGAGCACAGATAAAAACTGTTAAGGGACTCATGACTGGCCATGCGCCAGTAAAGGAGCATCTCGCCAGAATGGGACTGTACAATGGCGACCCAAGCTGCAGACTATGTGGCAAGGAACCAGAAACAGTAGCACATATACTGTGCCGATGTGAGGCATTGGACCGCAGAAGACAGAAGATCTTTGGGCAACCAGTTGGCGAACCAGAAATATTCAACTCACATCCAGTGAAGGATTTGTACAGACTTGTTCAAGGTACAGAGATAATGGAGTGGGCACGATAAAGAACATTAGGTAAGATACAATGGGCCACCTTAGGCCTAAGTGTCGTCGGAGACATGGTCAGACGGAGTTTCTAGTGGGTAAACCCTGGCTAGAGTCAGGGGAGTCCCACACTATCATATGGGGGATAGGACCCATATGGTGTCCATAAAGGATTTAAACCACCTAGACAAAAAAAAATATATCTGTTCATACAACAGTCTTTTTCTTTCAATTTAGTTTAGCCATATCAAGATTTATTGAAATTTTTGCCTAAATGTTGTAGGTACTGTTCTATTGTATTACTTGTACAGGGTGGGCCAAATTGGACACTTTTAAAGGGAAAGTCTAATTCCCCTACTAGATAGAAAAAAACTTATGTTGGTGACAATTCACATGACAGACTCAATGGTGAAAACGGCATATCAATATATATCTTCGTTCCAGAGTTACAAGGTGTTTTTAGAAAATATGAATTTTCCAAAAGTGGCTGAAACTAATGTTTTGTCAAAAATCCTTCGTTTCCATAAAAACATTTCCGAAGCATTGTGTTTGTCATGAAAATTGATCCTCAGGCACTGAAATCAGTCATCATATACCTAGTTTCGAAGTAGAACTATCACTTCAAGAAGAGCAAGGTATATTCTTGAACAAGATATGGATATTTGAACATGTATCGGCTCTTCACTCTCAAATTTTCAACTTTATTTTTGCAAATAATTTATTCAGTTTTCTATACTTTATGATATAATATAAAAAATTCAGTACCCTGAAGTGCACTGAGTTGGTCACGTGAAAAGTACGCAAGTAAGCCATCTATTATTACTACTCTTGAGTCTTTTTTCAAGACCAGTGGACCTTTTTGGTAAAAAACAATTGGAAATGTTTCCATGTTTACTAGCAATTCATATTGGAATGTCATCACATGATGTTGACCACAGTCTAAAATACGAATTTTGACATTGAAAATTTCAAACAATATAAATCTTTTCACATTTATTTTGAATAACAAAAACCATTGACAAATGAGAAGGTAGACGATTCATAGAAGTTTCTAATCATATATTATTATGTGCAATAAAATATAATTATTATACCTAATTTTTGAGTACTCACATTTTCTTGGGATGTTGAAAATTTCAAATCTTTGGCAGCATTTTCTTTTGGCACTGCCCCTGCAGCACTCATGACGAAAGATTTGGAAGGTGTCAGAATCTTAACAACATTCGGATAGAGTGCTGCACAGAGTACAGAAGTCAAAAGTCGAAGGTTCTCATCGTTTTTATTGAACTGCAAAAAAAATGATAATATACTGGGTGCTTTGATTTTCTCATCAAGTGGAATCATTTCATCATTGAGAAATTGGACATGCTGCCTCAGGGGCCAAGGCGTTCGTGTGTAGGTGAACTGAAATTCCCATGGAAATGAAGTTTGCAGCATGAGCCGTAGGCGTGTTCTGCAATCATACGAGTAGGGAATTAGAAATCCATGCGAGGTATATATTATACTTTTTTTACGACTGTAACAGATAACAGTGACAATTTTTATATCTTCGGCTTGTAGCCATTTGGTTTTCTCTCAAATAATGCTCATCTATTAGACAGAGAGCTGTCATTGATGACATACAAAGTTCCTATTTTGTTCCAATTTTGTGTTATAGCCATAGAAAAATGTGTTATCTATATCGCTCCTACCAATTCAATGTAAAAATCTGAGTGGGAGGATGTGAATGATATGTGAATATTACAAAAATATCCAACAATGTGATGTGTAAAATTTCATTGGCGGTTCAAGAGAAAGAGCAACAGACAAAATTTTCAAGAAAATTATTTGTTTTCCTTTGAAGTGAGGCTCAACTCTTGACGATCCTTACAAGAATAGGGCATGTGGCATAAACAAGTCAGAAAACACTAAATTCTCCCTACCCTCCCGAGGTATAGATATATAGAAATTTCTTTTGGTGTGCTACAAGAGATAAAAAAAATGAACACACTAGTTATAAAAAAAAAGATGAGATTCACGACGAATTGTGTTGAATAAAAAGTTTGTTTTAGTAGGGGTTTTTGAAGTCAGAGTGTCGTCAAACTTCATAAATTTCGAGAGATAATTTTGGATAATCATGTATAGTATAGGTATTTAGTTTTAAAAGTGGTTCTTTGATCAAAAACACTCACAAATGAAGATTTACTTCTTTTTATGAAACCATATGATGAAAACCCATTACAACTCAAATAATTTTTTTTTTACCTCTGAGCCAGTAGTTTCATAAACAGTATCCCAACCTATCCTTCTTCTTCCGCCAAGATTCACCGACACGAAACCGACATCAACCAAGAACTCCAAAAACTGGTGCTTAATATCCGCAATGGTAACCAGCGTCCTGTACGAAAGGAAATTCTCGTTGGCAAACTGCCTCGCTCCAACTTGACTTTTCTTGTACACTTTCAAAAATTTCTAGGAAAAAAATTGACGATGATGAATTAATTTTTCGCTCAGATACTGTCTTTCCTTACTTACCCTATATGCAACTAGTGTGGTGATATGGTCACTGTACCCAGCCTCGAAAGACTGTTTCTTTTTGTTGGCCTCTTCACGTTTACCAAACGGAGATACAAAAGGTGATTTGTAACTCAAACAAGCCGCCATGGTAAGAGCTGCATCCACACAACCGAAGATAGCGCCATACAATATCAATTTCCCTAAAGATTGTAAATTCTAATTCTAGGATTATGTAAATAATATTTGTTAAAAGTTACATACTGAGAACTTTCTTCTAACTTAACGATATCAGGAAATTATGTGGTGAGTAAAAAATGTTTACCTATCCTCACATCTACAGGAAGAGCAGCTAGATGGTGTCCAAGTGGTGTCAAAACTTCATTTTTATCTAATGCTCCAACATTTTTCAGTCTCTTGAGTGCAGATGATACATTTTCTAGCGACGGTGGTTCAATGAATGATCCTAAAAAAACAAAATAAAGCGAATTCTATTTATTATTTTTTTCCCTTAGTTGTAGGAAAAATATTGTTTTAGCTGGCGCAGCTGGGCTTCCTTAGTGTAGTAGCAACACTGTATTGGTTATCTACCTTGACTTCTATTGAAAGTTATGGCATTCAAACTTCCTGACCTCAAACGTCGTAGGTACACACATAAAGTCGGCATATCAAGGAAAATACAATTGAAGAATTTCAACTTTCGATAAATTTCGATAGTAATCATTATATGTGAAGATGCAGAAGACATTTGTCAGAGCAGTATTAATTCCCGTGAATAGTCTTCTCAACTATACTTCAACAGTGATAAATCATTATTTCAGCTATCTCCAGATCACCATATCATATAATTTTATTGATTCAATATGATTTTTTCTCTCGTATTTGATCCGTCCCAGCCAATAGTTTATTAGACCTTCAGAACATCTCTTTCCAAAGACTCGTTTATCCAACGAACAGCGAGGCTCTGGAACACATTGCCAAGGGAGGTGTTCCCCGAGGCATATAACCTCCAGAAATGTAAGAAGAACAGCAATTCCTACCTTATTTCCCTTGGTTCTCACGATGTTCTCTGAACATTACAGGATATCCCTCTTCGTGGGAACCAGAACATAACAAAAAATATGTTCGTTTGATCATAGCATTCACTTCAACAGTTCTTACTTTATACTCAATAAAAAATTAGTATTCGATGTTTTTCAATACAATATTTCTAATTTCTATATCCTCAATTTAATGATGATATAATTAATAAAAGAAAAAAAAAACAAAGATATCAATACTTTGTTTTTATGTGTTCTAATGAGGAGTATCACACTGGAAAGATAATTTGAAATATTAATATTTTTCATGTAGAAAACGGCAGCAGATTCGTTCATGAAACGTCAGAAGATATTTTTTTCAATATATCTATATTCTCTACTTCAAACATTTTCCAAAACAAAATGTCACTGACAAACAATTTGATACTTCTTTTAGGCTCTCTGACTGAAACGCACTGACATTTTGGGGCAAATCATTTGGCATGTATATTTAATTTTTTTTTCTTTTTTTTTTCATTCATTGAAAATGTTATTTCCAGTCAGAATCAAGTTCTGGTATAAGGAAGTATAGTTAACAATAATACCTAAAACTATACAATTATAATAAACTAATAAATAATATAATATTTGAAAACATTAAGTATTAAATTTTGACAAATCATTTCATATTGGTGAGCAAAAATCAATTTGAATATGAATCAAAAGTTGGAAAAAAAATTATCTATTTCGTTCAGAAATGATAAATTTTTTGAGTTGGTATTTGAATTTTATTGTATTTCTGCAATTTTTTATATTATCTGGACAAAGTCATTATTATTGAAGGAGTAGTTGGAGGTCGCTGAGATGCCCCCGACTCTTAGATTTTTTCAGCTCCAACAAACTGTTGCCCCACCCTGTATACATATATATTATAGAAACATGGACGAAAAACCCCAAATAATGTATAATCATCGCTTCCTATTATGCATTTATAATTCAGAATATCATATTATATAATATATAATGAAATATATTTTGTTACTTCCTTATTTCTCAGAGCAATAATAAAAATAAGTGATTCTCATAGAAAGCGACCCCTAACACAATGATGTAGGGGAAACAGTTGAGAACATGGATTTGGAGTCTGAAGCTGACTATCAGAGTAATACTTCTGGAGAAGACTGTTTCGGTACAGAAAATTGATATTTTCTATTTTATTTTCTAGAATATCCAAATGAAGTTTCATGTAATTTCTAAAGTAATATTACGTCTCCCCCTAGACTTATTTAATTAAAAAACTTAATTAAGAGTTTCTAAATGACCCCGCATGGGTGTTTACGTTGATTCTGATGGCATAAGAAGGCGTGTACACCTCAGTAGAACTTTTAACTCATGTTTATAATGATCCTTTTATACATAAATGATGATTGACGACATAATTCGATCGAAAAATTAACTGAAATGTTTTATTTTTGGACATAAATAATAGTACCTTCTGAAAACTGACCCTCTTATGACGTAGAAACCTCATCTCGCCATAGTTAAAAGAAAATACCAAACGCCCGACGCAGACTGAGGCAACTGATATATTAATTCTTTCAACTGTGATCCCGCGCTAATTCACTCAGTCAGAAATCATGTATCATTCATCTCTGTCTGGATAGTCTGGTTTCAGTATCAGGGTTTTGACGTCACATCATTGCCTCGTTTTCAGAAGTCCGAAAAATCGGGGATTTCAATAATTTTTTATAAAACGTAGGAAGCTCACAGCAAGAAACGGTTTGCGGTGGTGAGCTAGTTTGGGTGAGTTCTATCGAATTATGAAATAAAATTTTTTTGTGATATAAGCCCATTTAAGGGTCCGGATATTCACAAACTCACCAAGAACAGCGGACGCATCTCTATTCTCGAAGTTGGGCAGTATCTTGATATTCAATATCAGCTGCTCCAGCGGTATCCTGTCGATCTCCGGCACGGGCTGCTGCAACAGGTGGTGCTTGAACCGGTGATCGGTGTACAGATGGATGCACACCCCGCTCATCACCCGCCCAGCGCGCCCTTTCCTTTGCAGGGCGTTCGCCCTCGTCACCCAAACGGTGTCGAGGCTCTCCATGTTGCGGTTCGGGTCGAACCGCTTCTCCTTCATCTTGCCCGAATCGATGACGAAGACGCAGTCGTCGATGGTGATCGAGGTCTCGGCCAGGTTGGTGGACAGGACGATTTTCCTCTTGCCGTCTTTGGGTTTCCTAGAGAGGAAGCCAAACTTCATAATAAAGCTATTCAAGATGTTTATCCTATCATCAAAATTATAGAACTTCAACCTATTTTGGATCATCAACTGAAAAATTAGCTTCATTTCTACATAAACAGGACTTAAAAGTAGCATATAGAACAAATAACATGTTGGGGAGGTTTATCAAGAATAATAAAGACAAAACTTCTGAATTCAAAAAATCAGGGTTATACAAACTCAACTGTGGATCTTGTCCTAAGGTATATATCGGTCAGACAGGTCGTACGTTTAATCAGCGCATTCATGAACATGAGATGAATTTTATGAAAAAGAAAGCAAATTCAACATACGCCAACCATATATTAAAAGAAAACCATTCATTCCGAAATTCTACACGTAGAAAATGAAGGAATGAAACTCAATCATTTTGAATCATTAGAAATCAACAAACTCAAAAATTCTGACATTTTACTTAACGATCAATTAGACCTCAATAGTTCACCTCTGTTGAATTTGTTTTCTTAGTAAGTAATAATATGTATTTGCTATCAACGCTTTCAAGTTCATCCGGTACACCGTATTTTGATGGAGATATTGTGCCAAATTTCCGAAAATGGAGGTTTATCGTACCTGTCCACAGGTAACTAATCCTTCAGGTTGGGAAAGTAGGATATATAAAAGATAAGCAAGCCAACGTTAGGTTAGTTCGTTGTACCCGTATATCACCTGACGAAGCTATACTGTGTTAGCGAAACATGTTGTGTGCTGTGTGCTTGAGAATTTTGTGGAAATCTTATCGTTTGTGAAGTTTTTACACCGTACTGGGTGATTCACCATAAATGTCCTCTCCTCCTCTAGCTCAGTTATTTTTGAACCGATTTCAAAATTTGAATTATCATCGTAACTGATTTTCGATAACGTTTTTTTCCGCTATATCAGAAAATACAGGTTGCTCGAAACAAACGATCTACAGGGTACTATTTGATTGTTATAAATGGAACACACTATTTTTCATTGTATTTTTAGATTCTCCCTGAAGAGCTGATTTGATCAGTGTATCACACTTGGGGTCTAGCGAGAATGATTTAATAATTGGAACAGATACAGGGTGATCAGAATTCTGAATTTTGAACCACCCTGTAAATTTTCCAATTAAATGTCAGTAGATAGTAAATGAAAAGTTGAGATGGGGACATAGCAGCCTTTTTGACCAATAATGAAGTTTCGAGAAAAAAAAAATCCTAAAGTTGAAAAATCTCGATTTTGAACACCCTATATCCCTGTAATCATCCCCCTAGGGAGAAAAAGTGAAAGTGACGTCATGGTACGTCATCGATGGAATAACGATCTAATCTATATCCCATTAGACAGGGTATTTCACGTTATTCGACACGAAGCATTATGGCTAAAGCATTTGATATTTTGATGTTGTACAGGGTGTGCCATCATCAGGATAGATAAGTGCATAATTTCAGTCTCGTGGGAAAAGTGAAAATTGAACACCAGAAATCATTCAAAAATTACTTGTACATATACATTTATACAGGGTGTCAATTTGAAAACTTCCCACCCTTAATATCTCCCTCCAAGTCGATAATATGGAAAAACGAAAAGACAGGTCGATTTTATTTTCGAGGGGGACATGGTTCTAAAATATTTTCAGCCCCGCGGCGTTGCCGCTTCTAACGAAAAGAAGCAACAACTTTGTTATTTCAAATGGAACACCCTGTATTTTATTGCATTTTTAGATTCTCACTGAAAAGCTGATTTCATCAATGTATCACACTTGGGGTCTAGCAGGAATGATTACAGAGATATAGGGTGTTCAAAATCGAGATTTTACAACTTTAGGATTTTTTTGAGTCGAAACTATTCATTATTGGTCAAAACGGCTTTTATGTCCCTATCTCAACTTTTGATTTACTATCTACTGACATTTATTTGAAACAAATACAGGGTGATCAAAAGTCTGAATCTTGAACCACCCTGTATTTGTTTCAAATAAATGTCAGTAGATAGTAAATCAAAAGTTGAGATAGGGACATAAAAGCCGTTTTGACCAATAATGAATAGTTTCGACTCAAAAAAATCCTAGTTGTAAAATCTCGATTTTGAACACCCTATATCTCTGTAATCATTCCTGCTAGACCCCAAGTGTGATACATTGATGAAATCAGCTTTTCAGTGAGAATCTAAAAATGCAATAAAATACAGGGTGTTCCATTTGAAATAACAAAGTTGTTGCTTCTTTTCGTTAGAAGCGGCAACGCCGCGGGGCTGAAAATATTTTAGAACCATGTCCCCCTCGAAAATAAAATCGACCTGTCTTTTCGTTTTTCCATATTATCGACTTGGAGGGAGATATTGAGGGTGGGAAGTTTTCAAATTGACACCCTGTATAATAACACCAACATAGTATTGATTGATGGAAATAACCTCTCATTATTATCATTAGGTACCATTTGAATGGGGATGTACCCACACACTAGTGGAATTGAGTGGCTCAGAACCAGAGGTGCCTATACAACATATTATTTGAAACTGTGTTAGCTATGGGTATCCACCGAAAATGCGCCATTTAATATGGGCTAGATGTGCCTACACTAAAAATCGCTTAAATACTTATGGCGCCATCTGTTGATAATTGGGCAAATCACATCCAGGAAATATTCTAGACGCCAGACGTGCCTATGCTACAAACAACATGGCGACCACGTGGAGCAATTCGTCTTCTTTCAGCGATTTTCATGAAGAAGAAGAGTATATTCCTAGTGAAAGTGAAAATGTGTCAACAGGTATGTATTTTATGTTAATATGTATAAAATAAGTGGATTTTTTACAGTACTTTCGTAAAAAACGGCTTTAAATAGAAATGTTGTATAGGCTCTTCTGGCGATAATTTATTTTTTCTACAAACGTCAAAAAATGACAAGGTTCGCGCATTGATAACAAATTACGAAGTGACACTTTTTTTCAGTTTCCTACGTTACCATGATTCCTTGCACAAAACAATGCGCGAAGTAAAACAGTGCGCGAAGTACCTACTTCGCGCATTGTTATGTAGAATAAATGAGATATTTATATTTCAACTTTATGGTCCTCAATCGAGAAGACATCCACAAAATCATTTATCTCTGAATGTTCAACAATAACTTTGTTTTTTCTCTTGGAGCGCACGAAAGGAAATTCCTATTATGTTCGTGGAACATCGTGCGTACCTAGGGAGGATAGGGGGAGACCTCTATCAAGCCAGTTCAACACTATTTTCAATATCAAGTTATGCATATTTTTACTTTAGAACTATATTTTTTGACGTTTGTAGAAAAAATTTTTTTTGCAACTCGAGCGCGAAATACTTTGGTCATCTCGACTATTTTTTTTACTCGGCTACGCCTCGTTAAAAAAATCAGATCTCGATCACCAAAGTAGCATTTCGCGCTCTAGATACAAAAATAACTATTAAAAATATCATAGATGAAAAATAGAATGTTCCACAGGTTTTGGTAGCCATGTTGCATGAACTCTTGTAGTATTGTGTTTTTTATTTCATTCTAGATACTGATAATGAGGTTAAATTACCACAAACACCATTCAAAGGCCGAAAGCGAAAATCACATCCCGAGCTTACTGGGTATCTGTAATAAGGCATGCTAAAAAGAAAGATCCTAGATTTACTATTCACAAAATGGGAAAAGAAGATTTTTTCAGCACCAAAAAACTGGAGAATGACATAGTACACAGGAAAAAAACGACAACCGGAGAATAAGTGGAATGGCTGAAAATATCTTGGATTCATCTAAGACATTCTTTTTTTTTTGTATATCGCTACTTCAAAGTTGGGAACCAACTCCCCAAAAGTCGAAACTTGTGCGGGGTTAGGAAGAGCGGGACCTACAGCTTATAGAGGAATCGGAACCACAAAAATGCTCAGCCGAGTGCTCAGCCGATAGCCGGATTCGAACTGACAGTACCTCTGCATCGTGAACGGCTATCTAGCGAATTTCAGCGCATAGACAAACTCGGCCACGGAGCCCATTCAGATCCGAAAAAGATGTATTTTAAATACAACTACAATACGGATTCTTTTTTTTTTGAGAATTGGACCTAAAAAGAAGTATACGTGGTCGTCCTTCATAGAACCATTACATTGAAATGGATTTATTGTATCCTGAAGGAAAACCAATAACAGAAGAGAAAAAGAAAGGTTTGATGGCCTTGCTAAGTTTTGTGCCACCTATCCACCACGGTTTTTACAAAGAGTTAAAAACCGATAATGAAAGGGACCTGGGACTTGCAGATGGAGATCCGGAGGATGAGCCTAATGTCGAGGAAGACGTGGAGTGATTTCAGTTCATTTTTCGCGTTTATTTTAATGAGTTAATGTTAATTTTATCACCTTTACAAAATTGTTTTGTAAATTTTGTTAGAGCCAAAAACGCCTATACTTTTAGTTTTTCAAAATAAAGGTTGAAATTTAATGAATATTTTTTTCATTTATTCCAAGTGAATAATATATGTTGTTTTCTTTGGGTAAAAACGCAAAAAAATTATAATTTTGAACATTAGGCAATTTATTCATTTTAATGAACTTTGTCCTCAATCATCTCCAAACTAGTATATTGTTGTATAGGCTCCTCTGGTTCTGAGCCACTCAATTAATAACACATTTTCATTTTTTATTGGCCATTCCATAAATTAACAGTTATTTGATACAGCCCTTCATCATTTAAAATCATCACACATATTTTTATTCAATAATGAAACTAATCAAGAACGTCGATAAGCACAAATGAAAATATATTCACTGAGATACTTGTGAAAGATAAGTAGTATCCTATATAAGTTGCATTGGATTGATGACAGTATACAGAGAAGTTCACAGAAAACGGCCAGTGCTATTTACCTCAGCAATGTTTCCTGATCTAAATGTCAGAAGAAATAGTTACTCGTTTTACTGAGCAAAAAAGCACAATATTCAATTGGAACGTTATCTGCTTATTAAGTGTCAAAGAAAAACCACTTTTAATGTCATTTGTAGAAAAACTTGTTTACAACTATTACTGGTGAACGATATAATTTTAAAAACGATATTATTCCATATTGATGGAAATCCTTTTTTTTTAATTGCTTACTTGAATATAGCTGCTTGCTCTTCGCTAGTGAGTGATGAATGCAGAGGAAGCAGCAAATATCGTCCTCCTCTACATCCCAAAGTCCTATTAACATTCAACTGGTCATACATAGTTGTGATTTCCGCTATACCCGGTAGGAATATAAGTATAGTGCCAACTTTGGGGTATGGATGATCCCCAGATACTATCCACATTAATACTGATTCTATCAGTTCATAGTTTATTTTCTCAGGATCCATCAGGTATAAGTTTTTACAAGTTGACTTACTATAATCTGAAAATGCAAATTTATTTTATCATTTCTCATTCTTGTTATTAGAACACCTTATATACATAAATATATAATAATATCGGCTCTACACCACTGATATGGATGATCTCTGTACGTCTCTGTAGCTACTATCTAGACCGCTTTATGTAATATTCCAGTAATCCGAAAATCCCGGTTGAATTGCTTGCTCATAAACGTTTCAGCTCAATGCACAGGAACTCCCAAACTGTCATTCACGACAACGACCAGTGTTGCCAGGTTTCAAAAAATTATGTAGCTTATAGAGTTACCAGAAAATCGCCAAATTTGAAGAAAATAGGAATAGTCATCATACTCTTATGAAATTGCTTCAATGGATTTATTTTATATTTTCTGTACCATAACCAGACTATAACGAGGAAACATCTATATCCATCTCTCAATAGCATAAGTGAAAGAAAAATATGCCAAAGACTATATGAAGGGTGTCAGGTGAAAACAGGGAATGTCCTTGCGACAAATGTTAGAGATAATGTCATTTCAGAGACAGACACAGCTGAATTATTTTTCATGTAATAAAAGCCATTCCATTTCAAGAACGCCTTATATTTCTTTAAAAACAAAAATGATCTTCAATTCTTGTCAAAAATAGCAGTAATATTGTAATATGTCTGCTCATTTCAGTTGAAAACAGGGAATGCTCGATCTCGATCGTATGTAGCTATAACAAGAAACATATCTCAAGAAAAAAAGTTTTTATTTGTTTCGGTTCTCATCTAAGTATTTTGAGGAATTTTCCGATCGATGTACTTGGTAGTTTTCTTAGGTGTAGCTTCACGTCTCGGATTTGTACCCTTCATTCTTGAACCAACTCCATCCTGTTTGTTAGAGGAACCTGCACGATTAACATCTATCCTTGAACGTTGGAGAGCAGACGCTTGTAATATACATCATTGGTAGATATATTTGGGAGAGATATGTTTATTCGATACTCCATTGCTATGGCTTCAAATGCTTTATCTTGAGTTCTCTTGCGAGCACCTCTTTTTCCATCATAAAAAGTTTGCGCCGAGGTTTGCGCCTTTCACAAGTGAAGCCAGCTTACTCATTACCATATTATCAATCGCAGGGCCTTTCTCAGTAGCATTCATTTGGTAGCACTGACTGCAAGTATCGGATCTAGGATATCCATATCATATATTAAAGTCTTTCTTAAATACCATCCTATAGGATTGATAACATACTTTTTGATTTGGGTGGAGATCTTTGAACATTCTGTACATCTTTCTAATGTTAAGGTCTTCCGGCCAATATGACTTGTTTCTGTTGTCCTTTGAGCTGTAATGACTTTTCCTTGTTTTGAACGAAGGAATGTGCGATTTAATACATTCTAAAGTATTGCTGCTCATTTTTTATGATTTTCTCCTCTGTAGGTACTCAACTTTGCTTTTAGAAATCCCATGAACTGCCTTGGAAAACGTTGCTTACACTTCTACTTCTTTCATAATATTTTCTGTTTTAATTATTACCCGATATTTGTAGCTACTGTCATGAACCTTTGCTAAATTTTCTGGTGCCCTTTACCTCCGCCTTTGTATAGTAAATCAGGGAGCACAGATAGGAATTCTGGGTATTGTGTGAATCCAGTAAATTAAAATAATTGAGAATAGTTTGTCTGTCACTCGGATTTACTTTCTCCATACACTTGAGCCTTCTGCATTCGTGAATTCATGTGCAACATAAGTAAATAGTTCTTATTGGACATTCCCCGTTTATTACGGGGAAAAACATGGTTGGACATTTTGTTTTCTCCATATATGGCCATACGGTATTTTAAAACAATGTTGGAGGACATGACGCTCCACGTTTTCTCATGATTTGGGTTGAGCATAGGTTGATACTTTGAATTTGCTAATAGATGGCATCACTAACTCATTCTGAACAAAAAAAGGACATTACCGGTTTTCTCCGACACCCTTCATATAATGTTCTTTGCAATCAGTTCAATCTCATTAAGTTGGAAAACATCCATAAAATGAGTATATAGGTATACCTACATACAAAAAATCACAAATACACAACAATAAGATAAAGATGTATTCATTGAAAGTAAAAAGGAACATTAAGAATTATGCAAGGAATTATGTATAGGTATATACCTATCATGAATGTTTATTCAAAACTTCCATCAATTTTCTACTGTCAGTAGTCAGTACTGTCCACATTTCTATGCTTATACTTTCTCAATCTATTCTAGAATCGTTCGAATTCAATTCAAACAGGAATAAAAAGAACGGACTTTCCTATGTGGCATATACTGGGTGAGTCGGAAGGAACGCACCAAACAGGTGTGGATTGTACAGAAATAAATAAGTCGAAAAACGCATGTTCTTATACGATTTTCATTTGTTTTCATTCTGAATTGGAATAGATGTGCGGCATTTTATAAGACCTCAATCGTACAAACTCGAAAATGAACGCACAAACACATGTCAGAACAACAAAACAGATCAAACAATCAAGTTTGTACAATTGAAGTCTCATGAAATGCCTGAAATCTATTCAAATTCAAAATGAGAACAAATGAGAATCATATCAGATCATATAGGGTTTTTCAAATTAATTTTACATGTACAATACACAGCTGGAGTTTGGTGCGTTCCTCCCGACTCACCCTGTATATTGGAGTGAAATAAAAGATCAAAGATCAAATTCACATAAGATTGATCTGGAGAATATACCCATTCCAAGAGTTACAACTAAACTCTACTGCCCGCTCATGTTCCGTTTCCGTGGTCAATCCTGTCATCTTGCCAATTCACAAAACTTGATAATGATTGTCACTTCATCACATGTCGCCAATAAATCTCTTGAAAATTTGTTGTTGCATTTTAGCATGAAAAGTAGCTGTGAATGCCAAAAATCGACACATCATTTTTTGACCTGTTGAACTAGAAAGGTGTTCCCTTTGAAAACACAAATTTGCTATCATTTCCGGAAAAACCGGAAGTCTGCCATATTGAATTGTGATGTGATCAAATTCAAAATGGTACCTTATATAACTGTACCAAATTTCAGAAATGTCCGTTCATGAATGCAGTAGTTACAGGGGTGGCCCATGGTATAAACAATATTTTTAAAATACCTTGATATCTAGCCATAACTTGAGTAATACTCAAACCCTCATCTCGAATATTGTCTCTAGGTTTGGCACTTGCATAACTGGCCTCAGCTGAAGACATTGCCTCCATGTAATCAGAATCCTTCCTTATCTTCTTGCAGTATTCTGTCCCCTCTTCTAATATATAACCAGTTGCTTCCAATATATCTTCCAGAAAGTACTGTTCAACAGGGAACGTCCTTCCTGGAATTTCAATTACTGGGATATCTCCGAAGTATTCAGAAAACAATGAAGCATTCATTGTAGCACTCATGAGAATGACTTTCAAATCTGGCCTCACTTGCAGCAACTCTTTCAGTATTAGAAGCAAAAAGTCACTAAAAAATAAATACAGAGTGAATCCTACTTATGAAACTTTCAAGAGGTGATTCCTTGTGCTCAAACCGGCTCAAACTGTTCAGTTATTCAAAAACTGGGTGTAAGTGCAAATTCTTTCAAGTATGTTAAAATGAAATGAGATCAGGAAAATTGAAATGACTTTTTATATTGATAATTGAGGTCTTTTATGCCAATTTCAAGGATTTCTTGATTTTTGTTTTCAAAATAATTTCATGAAGGTGAAACTTGGACAAATTTGATAGCACTCTATCATTGATATCATACCTGATCTGAAAAATATCATATTCAGAAATTAAGAAGTTTGTCCATATGGAATATTCTTCATCAAATACCTCAATACGCCCCTTGAATTTTTTGCATATACTCAGGAAATACCTGTATTGTTAAAGCTGTTCAATCACAGTGGAAAGTGAAATAATAGTGTGAATCAAGTGAGAGAATATAATTCATCTCCTTCTTGAATAACTGATATTATTATATGATGAATAACAAATGATACAATTGATAGTAGAAAATCATAAGTTGAATTTCATTGCCTTTCTTTCAAGTTGTGTTTTAATTATACTTAATGTGTGGATGATTCAATACATGGAACTCATTCATACAGAAGTAGGCTTCCACTTCATTTTTCAATATATAAGATGTACAAGGGGATTCAAACTTCCCGCTCTAGGATCATAACAGGAAAATTACAACTGCATAAATTTGGCACAGAGCATATGAATAGCTGTGTGTATTTTTCTCGTGGAAAAAAGTAAATTTATGAAAAGTGACATTTAATAACCTGTCAACAGACATGAAATTTCGAACTTTTTTCCCGTTACAGAAAAAAAAATTTTCAACAGTTTCTATTCTTGATTAAATCTCGACTGACCCCACCCAAATAAAACCCACTTTTACCAAAAAGTAGCATCATCTTTGTTATTTCAAATGGAACACCCTGTATTTTATTGCGTTTTTAGATTCTTCTCGAAGAGATGATTTCATCAATGTATCACACTTGGGGTCTAGTTCAAAATCGAGATTTTTCAACTTTAGGATTTTTTTGTGTCGAAACTATTCATCATTGGTCAAAACGGCTTACATGTCCCTATATTAACTTTTGATTAACTATCTACCGACATTTAATTGGATAAATACAGGATGGTCCAAGATTCAGAATTTTGATCACCCTGTATCTGTTCCAATTATGTCAGTAGATAGTGAATCAAAAGTTAATATAGGGACATGTAAAAGCCGTTTTGATCGATAATGAATAGTTTCGACACAAAAAATTCCTGAAATTGAAAAATCTTGATTTTGAACACCCTATATATCTCTGTAATAATTCCTGCTAGACCCCAAGTGTGATACATTGATGAAATCAGCTCTTCGAGAAGAATCTAAAAACGCAATGAAATATAGGGTGTTCCATTTGAAAAGTGGCAACGCTGCATCGCTGAAAATATTTTGAATCGTTAGATCACAATAAACGCTTATTAGAGTAACCAAATTTTCAGGATAATCCAATGTACCGTTTTCCGTATACGTCTAAGGTACCATCGACGGTGGGCCACCCTGTATAGGTACCATTAGGTACTAATGATATGTATCAACCAAAAACGGACAATACCTCATCTGATTCAGATCAAATTAAATTTTCATATAACTGTTATAAAAATGTATTCATCACATTCATTTATTTTCATTTGTTTTGTATTTCTGTTGTTCATTTTAACTATTTGTTCTCGTTTTTTATGAAGGTACTCAAATCTTATAAGTACCTATGTATTCGTATCTTGTGATATTTGTGAGTATTTTCAAATTGGGAATATGATTTTATTTTATGAGTGTGTTTATTTTGTTTGTTTCTACTTTGTTGGAAATAGGTTACTGTTCAGTTTACTAAAAGTACATAATGTTTTGACATCATAGGTTCATTTCACTACCCTTTATTGGAATTTGTATGGCATAAAATAGATCTGAATTTTCGACAAGGTATTTAGGTACTGAATAAAAGTCGAACTGGCAACCCTGGTCCGCGCGGAGAGTGAGTTGATAACAACTGTCATTTGCTGTTGTCAAATTAATTATTCACGAAATCCCATAGATATCACCTGTGAATAGGGCCGTGGCGTAGATATGAGTGTTTGAGGTCAACGAAAAAATGTAATATGCACCTCTCTGAAAACTGTCTATTGTCCAGATTCCACTATAATAGACAGTTTTTCGTCCTTGGTATATGAATAACTACTCATGAGGCAGTTTTGAAAAGGGTTGAAAAATATTTGAATACAAAAAAGTATACCTTGCACACAGCAATTCAAATCCCCTCTGCCAAATTGGCGTTTGCAGGTTAATTTACAGTTGTTCTTTTTCCTGTTATAAAAGTTAGAATCACCCTGTACAGACTTTTTTGAAAAATTTGTTTTGTGATCACTATTCAGAAAATTTTATCAGCATAAAGATAATATGAACACATCTTTTGTGAAAATAACAATTTGCAGTTTCAACCAGTAGCTTCACAAAATAAATTTCCTCAACTCCTTCATGAGGGACCTATGACTATTTAAACTTTATGTCTTCAAATAATGCACATATCATGCCCCTTCAATATTGATGTTCAATTATTGTGTTCAATATATGAAAATATATCAAACCCTCTGTATTGAAATGTTCAATCTCAGAAATCCAGCAAATAAAAATTTGTTACTCATCTCACAGGTATTATTCCATATTCAATTTTGATCACAAGTTTTTCTTATTGTTCTTAGGAATCTATTAGCTGAAGGAGAACTATAAGACCTTCATAAGTTGGATCAGTTTTTACCTTTCTTCACTACGCTCATGCACCTCATCAACAATTATATGGGTTACATTTGGTAATGTGGGTTCACCCTCTAATCTTCTCAATAAAATACCAGTAGTACAAAACATCAGTCTAGTACTGGAACACATTTTACTTTCAAGTCTGATCTGGTAACCAACAGTGTTTCCTATTTTATCTACCCTCTCATCAGCAACCCTTTCTGCTACCCCAATTGCAGATATTCTCCTGGGTTGGGTACAAATGATTTCAATGTGCCCATTATTATTATTGTTGTAAGTTGTTAACCACTCATCCAGGATGAACTGAGGGACTTGTGTACTTTTGCCACAGCCTGTTTCTCCACTCACAACTACCACTTGTGACTGACTTATGGAGTTCAAGATGTCATTTTTCAAATTCCATGCTGGAAGTTTTTGTCTCCCATTCAGCATTTGTTTGTACTTTGCATCCTTTGTTTTGGCTTGGAATCTATCCACTATCCTCCTATCTTCTCTAGCTAATTCTTCTAAAGTTGGCATCTTTTTATTACTTCTCTTAGTAATACCTTTTTTGTAATGGCTAGGTCTAGCTTTTGTTACAATATCTAGCTCATCATCAAACAATTTATGGTTTGGATGAATGAAATCTATTTCTTCTTTCAAATGCTGCTTGATATCCTCCTCATTTTGTATGAGTTCTGTGATTGTGTACACAGAAGGTATGCCATCTTCTGCTAATAATTTTGCTTCCTTGTAGAGGCGTTTAGAAAGATGCAAGTTCATGAGATCTGGTAGTACTGCATTAGTTTTGATGAATATGAGAGGTGCTTCATAAGGATATTTAGAATCTAGAGGAAAACGAATCTCAAGCTCAAATATGTAGTCATCAAGATGTGCATTCAGATTCACTTCAACTTTTTCTACTTCATGTGAATACCTACATTTATTGCCATATTTACAATGCCCCCTAATCAAATTTTTACATCTTTCCTTCTTTTTTGGTTGATTTGTGTTTTTAGACACTTTTTCCTCTTTATTATGGAATATATTTATCAAATATTCTAATTTGAGAGTGATTATCCAAACATTTTCTGTTTTGACCTTGAAAGCATTCTCATAAATGGATTCAAGTGAACTTTTTTCATCTATTCGTTGTTCTAATAATTCCTTATCTGATAAATCATGATCTATTTCTTTAAGTTCATTGTTTCTATTGAAATATTTGTGGTATAACAAATAAAGGGAATCTTCAACATCACCTTTGCAGTAGTCAAATGCTTCAAGTATATGAGATTTGTGGAAGCCATAGCTGAAATTGAAAATATTTTCTTTGATTACTTCCAAAAAGATGATTTGAGCTCACCTTTCCAATCTCAACAAACTATACTGCTTTAATCTCTCTTGTTCTTCTGTTGGTTCATCTTTGTATTGAGAAAAATTTGTTACTCCTTTAACAATAAGACTCCCACGTCCAACCCAATATTTTTTCAATAAATTGGATTTTGATTCTTCATAGGAAGAAGCAGCACTGAATTTGAAATCCTAGAAATCAAAGATTCTCTATTTAGATAGCTACAAATACAAATTAGTTACAATTAACATACAGGTCCATGAATGTACTTCAAAGTATCCACTATTTTTTCTTGAATAGTATCAGACAATCTCAGGAATTGTAGTTCCTCTTTAACTGGAGTTTTTTTGACAACAACATTGTTGTTTCTGAAAAAATATTGCATTTCAATTGAAAATGTTGCACAATAACATATTATATGGAATAATAAATACCACCATAGCAGCCATACCCAATTTTAACAGCAGGAATTTCTTTGAAGAAAAAATCTGTTTTGTTGATAGCATCTTCCGAATCCATCGCAAATAATAATTATTAGAACAATGATAGAAAAAACGGAGAAACTTTCCCCGTCAACACAAAAATCGAAATCGAGTCAAACCTAACCTCAAATTGGAAACATAAAGCAGCAGCAGCAGATTGAAGAGCACAGAACAGAACGCTAAACAAACAGAGAAGAGTTTTAAATTCATCTTCTTCTCACTTCTCAGTAGATGATGTTCCAAGATTTAACCACTTGTGATTTCTGTGGTGTGTACAGTGTGTCCAGTTTTCGATGCTTTTGCCTGATATCTCAGTTATCTTTGGAGATAGAACCTTGCGGTTTTCGCGGTCCTGTGCCACTTTTTTGTGAAACTCAAGATGGCCTAATCAGATTTTGCAAGACTGTTTCCGTTCAAGAGATACAGGGCGATTTTGAAAATTTATAATATTTGGACCCCCTCCATATCCACGAAGTTTCCAAACAAAAATGTCAAATCAAAATATTATCGCATAGAGAATTTCACGCATAATCCAGTGGCACACTTGAATTTTTTTTCGGGGTATGGTTTTGAAGATACGACTCACACTTATGATTTTTTGAATGGAACACCCTGTATTTCATAAGCTCATCAAATTCCTTATTTCTTGTCTTCAAAATGATATATAACTAATGAATATAATATTTTCAAAATTGCTCTAAATCACTGAAATATGGAATTTTGATAGTTGGTTATGATTTTCCTTATAAAGAACGTTTCTGTTGAAGAAATATTTCTTCAAATTTTTCCATGGAGACGTCAAAACAAATATCAACACTTATTAATTAACAAAACACTAAACTTGGGTACCTGATAGTGATAGCGACAAATAAATAACAATAAAAAGTTTATAATGTAGAATAAGCACCTGGATTGAATATTAACTGGAAAAATTTAATTCCGGAATTATTCAGTAACTTATTCATTGACATGTTCAAATTGATATCCATTTTCCCTAAGCATACAGGAAATATTCCTTCAATTGTAAATTTCTTTATATGAAAATCCCTCGAAAAACCCATAGCCCACTATTAAAATTCAATGTTTCAGTGATTTTTGAAAATGTTATATTCATATATACATCATATATCATTTCGAAGGTAAAAAAATAAGGAATTCAATATGAGCTTGTAAAATACAGGGAGTTCAATTTGAAAAATCATAAGTTTGACTCGTATCTTCAATACCACACCCCGAAAAAAAAAACTTTTGTGTGCCACTGGATTCTGCATAAAATTCTCTATGGGTTGAGATTTCAATTTGACATTTTCGCTGATAAACTTCGTAGATATAGAGGGGGTCCAAAAGTATAAATTTTCAAAATCACCCTGTATCTCATAAACGGAAACAGTCCTGCGAAATCTGATCAGACCATCTTCAGTTTCACGAAAAAGTAGCAAAGGACCGCGAAAACCGCTAGGTTCTATCTCCAAAGATAACTGAGATATCATGCAAAAGCATCGAAAACTGGACACACTGTACATTGTACAATGTGTTCAGTTTTCTATGCTTTTGCGCGATATCACAGTTATCTATGGAGAATTGGAGATAGACTGTTGCATGTTTCACATAACTGCTTCTTACTTTTTTGTGAAACGAATAATGCCGAAAACAAATAATTTTCACAGCCCTTCATAATTGAAGACACGAGTGGATAAAGGGTATATGTGACATTTTAATGAAAAATGAGATTTTTGGGTGGATAAAGGATTTAAGTGAGTAGAATGTTTTCCCTACTAATACCGTTCATCTATTGTACAAAATAAGAAAGTTATATATTGATGAAAGATCTATGTTCACCTATGTTCTATCATTGCCACTGGATGAAGGGTTCAAGTACATTGTATTGTATGAACATGAATCCTTCATCCATGATTATTCTATTTGTCGGGTACTTGAAACAAACTCTGTTTATTTGAAGGATGAAGGATTTCATGTACCTTTTTTGAGTTTTTTTCTTACTGTATTATATACCAGTGTCAGATGTACTATGCAAAATTGTGTAATAAAGGTCTATTCAAACCAGCGATTATTTTTTTCATTCAACGCAATACAAAAAACTGCGGCCTCAAAAACTTTGAACATCATTTGCTCCAAATTAATTTTGTGTGACTTGAACCCTTTATCCACTTGTGTCTTCAATTATGTTTTTGAGGGATTTGATACCAGCTCTAGCTAAGGCGAAGTTGAAAATTTTCACTTTTTGAGCACCTCCCGTATCATGATGGTTATTTTTCAACTTATCGGCAGTATGAAAACAGGGCCAAATATTGTAACTTTCTACGTATAATACAGTGGCGCACTCATTTTATTCCTGTTAATCGCTCATTTTCAGAAAATGGAGCCAACATATTTTTTTTCAAATGGGACATCCTGTTCATTTCCATCCAGCGCAATTCGGATTTCCCATAGCTGATCAAAAATATATAAAAAGAGATAAAAATTTTGTTTTCGAAAAATTTATTTTGGTTCCTATTACTAAAAATGAGCGATCAAGTACAGGATTTCATGAGTACGCCACTGTATATATTATACGTAGAATATACAGAGTGACCCATTTGAAAGCGGGTGACCCTCATAAATTCTTTATTTATATGGAGCGTTTTTCACAATTTTTTTCTGAAATGTATATAGAAGGGGGAAAGGTGGATTTTGGAGCAAAGCGGTGTCCATTTTTCATTGAACCAAGGACTACTATATATATCACATTCAGAGGCTGAAAAATCCAGAATCCTTATTAGCGATGTTTCTAAAAAAAATCTGTGTGCACCACTTGAATAGGCGTCTTCTGAAATACATCGGTACCAAGTTTCATGCAAAAATATTCAACATTAATGAATGTCGAATCCTCAGCATCGTGCCTCATTTCTAAACGGCACCCTTCTATATCAGCTCTGATATAGTCGTGGACGGTATATACATATATGAATAATGACCATCAGAATATATAGGATCAGTTTCTCAGAGACACAACTTTTTGGACACAGTACCGTACGTTTTTATTAATATGAAAAGGGGTCAAAAGTCTTTATGAAATCATATAAAGAATTTTTTACGGGAAAACTGACCTCATAATATTGTTCTTCATGGTTCCAAACCCACCCATATGTCAAATTTCATATTCCTATGAAGGGTTTTGAAAAAACGGGCACATCTGAACAGCATTTTTGCGAACGTAATAACTATATTTACTCGGAAACGGTGAGATCAACATAAAATAGTATCTCTTGTTTTTTCTTTCAAATCAAGATTTTCTACCTACTGGAGCAATATATATTGAAAGTTTCAAAATTTGCATTCAATTTGAATTAGGTATCTATTTCCCGAGGCTGAAAATGAAAAAAATGAAGACAATTCTGTTGGTTAGACATGATGAGATTTTTTGCATATGGAGGTTTGAAAGCATGAGCAACAATGATATGAAGTTTAGTTTCATTCCAAAAAAATTCCTAATATGATTTCATAAAAATCGATTAAATAAAAAAGCACTGTCCAAACTTATCATGTTGATGGCTTTATTTCATACCGGTCCCAATTCGCTAAAGATCGCACGACTAATATATATAGCTGAGTTATAGAGAGGGGGGGGGCGTTTGAAATTAAACCAGCTATAGATTCGTTAATGTTGATGCGTCACTCTGTATGTTATATAAGGCTCTGTTCTCATCCTGCCGATAGGTTGAAAATAAGTAACCAAGATACGGGGACGTGCTCAAAAGTTCTCAACTTCGCCCTCCTGTATCTCGAAAACATGAAGGACTGCGTATACGAATTCTGTTTGCGGCATTATCATATAAATATACAATATATATATATTAGCAAAATTTGCTCTTTATAAATTGGTACAATAGATATCACAATGAAGTATAATATGAAAACGTCAAACAGTAGAACGAAAAAAAATATATATTTACAAATGTATACATTTACAAAACCATGAGATTATTGATATTCATTAGAAATCTATTTTGTACATTTTCTTCTGAATGAATTCATATGGCCCGCAGTTTTTGAGGCCACCAGGTAAATTATTAGATTTCACAAAAAAGTAAAGGCAGTAACAAAGATTACTGAAAGATTATCTTCTGTAGTCTATGGCAGTAATGTGAAAACCGCAACAATTCTATCTCTGAAAGATTATTGTGATATCGCGCGCGAAAGATGACGGAATGTTAATTTCCCACTTGAATGATCGCAGCATATGAGCCGAAGGCGAATGTTGCAAACTTCATTCTCGTGGGAAATCACTATAATTCCGTGCTCGTTAAACAATATACTATTTGTATACGATTTGCGAGTGGCAGGTTAACACACAGCCCAGTAAAATTAGCAAAATTGCCGCCACAGCCAAAGGAGGCGAAATTCGAAAATTGCTGAAAATTATTGGTTGATATATAGCTTACTTGAGGTATTTGGAGAAAATATTTCGAAAAATCACGAAAAAAAACATCAGAAATCATCTCTTTTCGACTTTTCCAACGTCCCAATTCTTCGTTATCAAGTTCTTCAAGGTCGAAGTTTCGAAAAATCACTTATTGGTCCAAGAACCACTCCAAAACTAATCATCTCCCAACAGTTTGTATCGCTAAAGTGTTTCCAAAAAACCTGACCCCCTTGCTAGAATGGGTAGAAAACAGCAAAATAAGTTGAGTATGTTCAGTAAGAAAATGTCGTAACGGCATTCCTTTCCAAGATACATGGTGTTGAACAAATGTTTTTTTTGTACACAATTTTCACGATTGTGTCGAAACTACTGGCAACATTGTAATAAAATGTTGTATGGATGTATAGAGGGCGTTAGTAACATGGTTCGTTTCGAGAGATTTTGAACATAACTTTTTTGATGTTGGATTTTTCAATCCAAATTTGATGTGAACTTGAAAATATGAACCTATAACCCTCAACCGTTCTTGTATAAGTTTTATAATAAATTCACATCATTTTACAGAGACAACCATGGAGCATATTTCCCTGTTTGCCCTGTTTTCAACTATACGA